TAATTTTTCATCTTGAGGTACCATATTTAGGGCAAGATTGATAAGATTCATACTCTTTCCAGAATAAAGCACAATCATATTTACAAGCATGTATAGGGATATACCCTAATCCTAACTCATGTAACATGTTTTTTGCCTCGTAATGACTTTTTGAAAGCGCCTCACCACTTAGTAGAACTTGTTTAAGTAACTCAAGTAACATGTCAAATTACTCCACTTATTATACACCTTCAAATGGAGCAATTTAATTACGAATGACAATGTGGTGAACTTTGAACAACCTCGGATATAATTCTTGTTGTGCTTCGTACAATAATTTGTCAAAAGACTTGGCTCTATGATTTGTGTCATCTCCCATATAATTCCTTCTAACTTTTTCAAATTCATTTAACATCTCATTAATTCCGTCATCCACTTCATCTCTCCAATATGGAAGTCATTATGGTAATTAGAACTAGCATTAGATCTAGCATCAAAATTAGAGTGTTCCTCATGATAGATCCATCGAGTATAATCCGTATCTATCCCTTGAATTAATAGATGATCATAAACCACATTGTGACTCTTCACAAAAAAATTTAAACAATCTACACATGGGCACCTAATTTCACACTCTCTCCCTAAATGATCTTCCACGAATTTCATAAAAGACTTAACTCATTCTACATATCGAGTCAACCATTTTCTTTCCTTCATCCAATTCTTTTAGTTCGGTCTCCAAACAAAGTAAAGACTAATATGACAAACTAAGTATAGATAAAACCTACAAATAAGAACCCATGGCTAGAAATGGATGCAATTTGAAGAAAAAGCTAGTAAATATACGGAATGATTGACACAAAACTACAAAAAAAAAAAAAGGAAAAAGCATTCTTTAGGAACAATTACATCTCCAATTAAGCATCAAACAGAAGCACACACACAAAAATGAAGGAAAGTTAAACATATAAATTGAACAAGAATTTGTAAAACATGAAATATAAGTATACCTCAACCAGACACGAGACCAAAAAACCTTTTGACAAGTGAAAGAAAGTTGGTGTGTTGCTTATCGAAAACTCGCATCTAGATTTTTTGTATAAGAATAAAACCGCATACTTAAACACTAGTCTTTTCTTATTAAAAGGCAAACCCAAACACAAATGTCTTTATTATTTTTTAATTAAAAATCTCACACATAATCCCGAGCATGGAAGCTTTGCACTCTAACGAGGCGAGCTCGTAGGCTCACGATAGGACTCGCGTGCCCGGCTCGTAGTAGGCCTACCGGCAAGCAACTAGCTCGCTACATGCCGGCTCGCGACGAGCCTTCTTGGAGTGCAAGCCTTCCATGTCGACCCCTAGTTTTAACTCGAAAGATTAGGCATGAAATTTACCTATTGCACTTTCCAATCCGAAACACATCGACGCCTAGCTTTAATACTCGTCGCTCCAATCCGAAACGAGAGGTCGTCGAGAACAAACTTTGAGGTTCTGCTATATCAATCTCGGGAACCCCGCTATAAGCATTAATCGAGTGAGATAACTATAACCAAAAGCTATTCCTAACATTGCATAATCATTCTATGGAAAGCATTACATTAAGTAAACGGACTTCAATTGTGAAGTTCACAAACAATAGCTATACATATAGATTTTGGCTATGTTTCATTTATATTTAACTATTTGAGAAGGTGAAAATGAGAGAGGCAAGGAAAAATCACAAATAAAGAAAAGAACAATAATATACGCCATAACTGATTTTCACTACCGGTAGGATACAAACTCAAAGAGACTGTTAATATCATTGAACCACGAAAAACATAACCACCAAATGCATTAAAAATTCTTGGTTTAATGGTAGTCCAAATACTTCTCTTTTAAAAAAATTTACGGATACCAATTATTAAAATATCCCAAGTTCTTCATACCAAGAAACATATAAGAAGAAACCGAGTGTCAATAGGATACCCGCATTTATTTGATGAATTTGATATTTCATTTACACTAAGAACCGTAAACCACATGTATCTACCACCCATGTTAGACTTAAAAAGACCATTAGCATTTATTCATAGTCAAGACAAAAAATTGGAGAGCCAATTCAACAACTTCCTTTACTTTTTCTCAAATAGCAATCACATTAACATCAAATGGAAATTTGAATATCGATCTAATATTTTCACGATCAATAATCAAACGAGAAAACAAGTTAATATCTTGTCCGAAGCATACAAATATTCTCATTGTAGTATGTAATTATGCCTTCATTTAACTACACTTTTTTTCTTTCAGTTATGTTGGCTATAGCCTTATTATCAACTCGATACTCCTCTCTCGATCTACACACTTCAAATAAGGTAATTTGGTAAAGTCCAAATAGAGATAAACTAATTTATAAGAGTCCCGATTGCGCTAATGTCACCAATTGGAAAACTAAAAATGAAAATCAACGAAGAGAAAAAATGACGACTCCATTGACTAGATACATTACCCTACCTAACAACGAAATTGCAAAATGCTAATTTTCTCAATATTCTCCAAAATTTTCTTAGATGTCTAGGTGCAAGGTTGGAAAAAAACCCATAAACACAAGAACAATAAGAAATACGAGTACCCATGAGTATTGAATACAAAATGACAACGTCACGATAGATTAGAACATACAAAGTAACTCTGATTTCCACAAGTCCGTTATTCTCCCGGGAAAATTAGTCAAAGCGACTTAGTCCGATAGAAATCTTCGATGATGCTGCATTACCCACCATTATTGTCTCGACTTTAAGGGGAAATGAGAGAAACAAAGCTGAAGTAGAAATCACACTCGAGGAGCTTTAATTTTTTGGGTATTACTTGAAGGATTGTGGGTTATGCCGTGAATTTGAATGGGAAAGAATGAAAGTCTAATAGAAAGAGCTCGCAGATTCAAACATGGGATGTTTCGGCTTTGTCAATGAGTAAGTGTTTTACCAAAAAAAAGGTATATTTTTTATTCCAAACATAGGAGACGTTTCAGTTTTGTCCTAGTAGATTCAAACATTTTGGTACAATCCTTTTTCGTCCCAAATAAATGTTTAAATAAATAAATTTCATCCTTAAATAACTTAACATTTAAAGACATGTATTTTCGTCCCTAAATCGTATAATTCGTCTTAAAATATATACTTTTCATAACAAGGAGGCGGGACAAGGTGGGCGGGGGGAAAAATTTAGGCACCGAGTCATTTAAGGAAGAAGTATTTATTTCGTCCACAAAGATTAACATTTAGGGACGAAAATACATTCTTAGGAAAACATTTCGTAGTTAAATTTCAAATTTGTTGCGGTGTACCCACAAGTTACAATGTATCGAGTTAGGGATGGCAATGTGTTAGGTATAAAATGAGTATTTGTTTTATCCGATCCAATAAATACTCATTAAGAATGTCTAATTAGTATTGTAGTGGCTAAAAGTAAAAAAATATATACCCACTAATGTGATTTCACAATATGGGTACTCACTCTTTAATTTATTAATATCTATTAATTTTTTTTAATTTTTTTTAACATGCGAGAGATCAAATTGTATAAAATTTAAAATTTAAAGATAAAAATATATTTTTTTGAAAACTTTAAGGACAAAAAAAAAAAAAACTTATGAATAAATGATCATAATGGAAAAAATTAAATTTTAAGGATCAAAAAAACTTTTCTTAAAAAATATAGGAGCTAAAATAAATATTTTTGATAAATTAAATTTAATAGTTACTTAATGAGTATTAAATATATAGATAAACTAGTATGAGCGAGGATATGAGCTAGATAAAGATTTATATAACGATTTTTTAATAGGTAATGAATATTGTATTCCTTTGATGGATAGGGTAAAAAAATAAATTAATGAGTCGAGTACCCATCAATTACCATCCCTATATTAAGTTAATCCAATCCAAAAATTTCAGAGTTATTTTAAGTTCGAGCTATGTCCGGTTCTCAAAATACTAGACTCGTGATTATTTTCCAAGCCGGTTTGGATTTGCAGGCTGGCGGATCTGGTTCCTATTTGGCACGGTATATGTCTGTATCCTCTTTGTATATTTAAAAAATTTATTTGATTGATTTTTATCTTTTATTTTATTTTTTTAGAAAAAGCTTTTTTCCAAGAATTATAGAAATTAATAAGAATTAAATTTTGTAAGCTAATAAATATTTAATTTAAGAAAAATATCCAAATTGTTTTAGGTAAAAGGTCCAAAAAAATCTAAGTAAAAAATTTACAAAATAAAAGTTGTAAAGTTTTTTCTATGAAACAGAGATAAATATTAAATTTTCAAATGTATTATTAGGATTTTATTGAAACATATAATAATACATAAACAATTTTTTTAATAAAAACTTGAAAACTGAACCTATTGATATAATAAAAAAGGACATAGAATTTAAATTGGTCATTTATCTTTCAAAAATAATGCATTTTTCCCAAATATTTTCTGAACAGAAATCCATCAAAATATTTTTTTCATCCCTAGAACCGCTAAAATGTTTTCCTTACCAAAAAAACACAAATGGATTGAAGTGCTAAATGAGAGATATATGGGATTTAATTTTGTTTTAGGATTTTATAGATACAAAAATATTTTGATTTGTTATTAGATTTAAAGACTTTTTTCACAAAAGGATTTTTGGTAATACAAAAGAATTGAGAAAAGAAGCAATGTTCAAAAGCTGAAAATTAATGATCGAAGAAATGCTGCTTCATCCATGTGCAGCTAGCATTAAAATGATTAACCATACTAGAAGTACTGATGCATATACATGAAAGCAACATAGATAGATAGATAATAAGTCTAATCTTAAACTAGAGAGTTCTAATTAAAAAGCCATTCAGGTCCAAACTAGCCGGAGTGCACACAGAGATGGCGAAGACTGTATAGCATCATGAGCAATCAGCCTTAGATTTGAGCAGAGTGACTGCTAATGATGTTATATCATTTTATGAAGCTCCTCGTGTGTTTATACTTTCCACCAGAATATTATTCCATCTATCGAAATCCTCCTCCAAGAGCAGGAGCCCAGTAGTCTGCTCCATTATCGCTGCCAACTTGCAGCGTGCAGGACACTGGCACAAGACACAACCCTCTACTCCTCAGGTCAGTCTTTGGATCTTCATGAGAGTCCTGATTATTAACACAATGTTCCCAAGAAAGGAAAATATGTCAGTGATATTTTATTTGCTAATGAAATTATTGTTAGATTACACGTAATATAGTAGTGAGATAGATAGATAATTAGAAGGGAACTTCATGAGAAAGGAAAAGTGAGAAAAGAGCTGGTTTTTAATAAATGATAAAGTACCTGCTGAGAAGCTCCTTTCCTCTTTATGCAGCTATCATTCAACAGCTAGTCAAAGAAACAACATCACAAAAGCATTATTAGCTTTTTTTGGTTGCATAATTTTACAATTTTGAAATGCAAACTAAGATTGTCTTTAACCATCCACAAAGCTGAGAACAATGTTCTTTTAGCACATTCTTTTTTGGTTGAAAAATCACTGTACACTGTACAGTACTAGTAAGGGAGTAGCTTTTCTTTTCTTGTTTCAAATTCAAGCTTCCCAGTCCTTTTTAAGGAGGTAATGGATCCAATAAAGCATACCTGACCAGGGTCCTCAGGAAATATACAATTCCTTTCTCCTTGAACCTACCAAGAAAATTTACAATCATCAACCAATTAATACAATATAGTTAAAAAATATGCTCATGCACAGTATGCAAAGATACATAATATACAAATTTTTTTTTATTTTTTTATTTTTTTCTTTGGGAATTGAGAATATATATATATATATATATATATATATATATTTGTTCCTTACAGAATGTTGCTGCCTCATATTTGCGGATCCACTACCCAAGTACGGTAAGCTGAGAGCCTGCATCGTTCCAGGGGGATAAGAGAACGGAATATATATATACATATATTTAAGACTTCAATAACTAAAAGAATGTTAACGGAATATTGTTTAATACTTAAATCTTTGGCAGTGTGCCATCACTGGCTCATGGTTGTTTGCGAAAATAAAAGGAAGAAACGAACATCACCTCAATTTGGCTCTGAAGGAATCTGATGTACCCTATAGCTTCTAACAAGACAGAGGCTGTGTCAGTCTGCAAAAGAGAAAAATACCACACCACAAACATCCAAAGTCATATTTCTTGTCTTCTTTATAGATAGCTTTATGTGAAAACTTTAGTTTTTAAAAGAAAACAGTAATTAGAAAAATAAAAATTGAAGGGAAAGGAAGAAGCTTTATTAGTGGAAAAAACCTTCTTTTATACGTTTATCCTTTTTAAGAGTTAAGTTTCCTTTATTTATTCCATTTTTATCAGCAAGATCTCGCCAGTTTTATGTCTTAATTAGTTAGATTAATAGAAGCTTACCTTCCCAAATGGAGAAACTAGCTGGTGAAGGGCGGTGATTCTATCACCTAATTTCTCCTTCCTCACCTACTTGTAGAAAACATGCATGTAAATAAATAAAATAAATTAATCTTTTAATGAAAAAATTAGAGATGCAAATTAATTAAAGAATCACCATGGTTCAAGAAATGGACAATCAAGAAAGACAAATACAGCCATCACCCCAACGGATGTTTGTGCATGTGCTTACTCTCTGTATTTTGTGATAGAGGATTCTCTTCAGATGTGTACATTACCTTAAAGGTAGGTTGGGCTGAAGAAGATTGAACCCTAGCTTTCTTAACTGCCCCACCAGATGCAGTGCTGTTACACTACCAAAAACGAAGATACATAGTAGAAGAATTAATTAATAAGAAATATGATTGCTCAAAAAAAATCATTAACTTAGAATGAACAATTTATAAGAGGTTTGAAAGGTTGTTTAAATTCTCTTTGTTGGATACCTATTATTCAAATATTGATTTTGGCCATAACACAAAGGATATGTGAACAAATAATGTTGAAACCCTAAAATAATTAGAGCTTCTTGATTGAAGACTCGATGCAAAATAACCCTTTTCCACTTTTACTCACCTCAGAAGATCGATCTGGTGGTGGGTGCCTCCCATCTCCCTTGTTGGTAGAGAAATCCAACATGTTGCTGCTGAAACTTGTAACACAGGACTTAGGAGATGAAGCAGGTATCACTGGGGACCAAGCTGTAGATTTTGCAGCTGTCTGGAAATCTTCATTTGCATGACCATACACGTAGCTGCTTGCAGAGTTTTCTTGCTTGACATCCACAGCAGAAGCACTTGTTGCTTGATGTAACATTTGCTCCTCCCAAATTTCCATTTTCTTTGCTTGAAAATGGCTTATATTGCTCTTATCTTCACTACACACCAATCCGCCTCTAGAAAAACACATCACACAAAACCCAAGTAAATTTCAATCCGCTCTTTGTTCGTTTAGCTCACGATATAGCTAGAAAGTATACAGGATATAGAAAGAAAGAGATGGCATTCAAAAGTACTATCTAACATGTCTAGAAGGAGACCACAAGAACAAGTATGATTAATAAAGCGTATCCGTAAAGTTACATAAAGAGTACAGTTCATGGTATGTATATAGATATATAGATGTAGGGAAAAGAGTATAGAGAGGAATGATAGGGAGATGTTTACAGAAGTAGTTGGCTCCATGACTCTGGATCCTGATCTGGGTTATCATTCCAAGAAGGAAGAAGAAGAGATGAAGAAGATGATGACGAAGAAGTAGAAGGTAGGAATTGAGGGAAGAGACTAGGAGGAGGTAGAAAGGGAGAGGTTTGTTGATGATGAATTATCGGTGGCCTCATGTTGTTGATGCTCCACCAGTTAGGGTTTCCAGCCATCATTTGCTGCACCGGTGAACTCTGCAAAACTCCTCTATTCATTGGCTTCCACAAGAATATCTTCTCTTTTGTTATATGGTGATCTCTTTCACTCTAATTGTACTATCAAGCTAGCTATAAATCTTCCCCCCCTTTTTTTTTATTTCTTTTCCTTTTCTTGAAGCTCTCAAACAGGGTCTTTGTAGAAAGTTTGAGTGGTCTTCATGTTCTGGATTAAATAGAGGAAACGCAAGTCCTGCTGTTGACAGAATTTAAATCATGGAGGTTTGAGAACCTTTGTCATTGTTTCTCTCTCTATCCTTTCTGCATTACTTTACTCTTTTTTTTTTTTTCCTTCTCTTTCTTCCTTTTATATATATATATATATATATATATATATATATGTTTTTATTTTCTTTCTTGCTTTTTCTCTGCTTTTGCTTTAGCTCAAAGTGGTACAGAAAAGGTGTTAGGAATTTTCGTTAATTTATAATCCTACAGAAGCAAAAAAAAAAAAAAAAGCCAGGAAAATGGTTTCACTGTAATGACAGTGGGTGTACAGATTTTGCCATCTGTGTTTTCTTGTAATTTAATTAATAGCTAGGACTTATAGATACCGCGGATTACAATATATATTTTTTAATTCATTGGAATGTTGATAATGAAAATGACTTATAGATAGGATGGATTAGAATGTTGATAATGAAAACGTTCATAATGAATGTAATTTTTTTGTTATTACATAATTAATAATCAAATAAATTAAAATTTTAAAATATTTTATTAAAAAAATTATCGATTAACATAGCCATTACATTTATTTGTATTATTACAACAAAACTTCCTCTAAAGCAACTATTGCGTTTTTCATATTACAGATTCTAATATTAAATTTAGTCCAGTTTAGTTTGTAACATTATACGCTCATTGCATTCATATATATACTAATTCATTGATATATAATAAATTAGAAGAAAATATTCAATTTTTTTTTCGAAGTTTTCCATAAATTAATTGCATCATTGCATTAAATTCTATATATACTCAGTTATGTAGATTACTTGAATTAGGATCTGTAATCTATTTCTCGATCGTTAATAGGCAACCCTGCTTCCTACATTCCTACGATCCCTCCTTCATTCGTCCACTTTTTTTTTTTTTTTTGGTATCGAAAAGATGAAGTTAATAATGATACTGACCTAGGAATAGCGTCAAACGGCAAAAAATAAAAAGAGAAAAAAATCCCAAATTTCTTGAAATTAAACAATATCGAATCATTACTTCAATTACTATTACTAATTATTGACTATAAAAAAATGAATTCTACTTTATAGTATACTTCCCACAGCTAACATTTTAAACTTTCATTTCTCCACTCACATTCTGACACCTAGTTACTTTACTACGGATATCAATATATGCACCAAAGGTCATCTTGTTATTATTATTATTATTATTATTATTTTCTTGAGAGAGAAAGAGAGAGAGAGAGATAGAGGGTCATGCATGTGTGGTGGTAATACCATGATATGAAACTTTAATTAGATTTGGCCCTCAAGTTGTAAAGCAAACAAACAATTACTACTAGCTAGTGTTTGAAATCAATTAGGTAGTTAAACTTGCTAGTGCTGATTTGGTGTGGTGGTACATCATGTCCAGCAAGACTCCGCATTCGGCAATATTATGTGGGCACTCTTCCCCACAGGAAGTTTAAGGACAAAAACATAGTATTACAGCAAAACTTTAGTGATGAAAGTGATTGTAACTTTTTTTTAAGTACACCAGTGGATAAACCGTCTAACTAGCTAGCTAGCCAGGTTTCTGTTTTATTTTATGACCGCCTACATACTTAGCTACATTTACTATTCACTCTTAATTGACTAGCGACTACTATTTAGTATCATTATGTAGAAAAAAAGTCTATAAATCATGCCTTTAACAAATAGCGATATCATTGTTCTCATAATTGCATAAATAGCAATATTAGGGGTTAAACTATGCTATATATATATAGGCCGGTATTAATTAACAGTTGTTATATACAACAAGTTGCAGAATTCACCGACCAAAAACTGATCAAAGATTAGAAAATGGGTACGTCAGGATGATGGGGGAAAAAAAAAAAAAAAAGAGAATTGGTGTTACATGTGATGGTGTCATCTATACGGACAAGCTAGCCAGTATTGTATACATGTATAATATTGTTTCTTGCTTTTGTAATTATGCTGCCTGTATGTAACGATTTTGCATATATAATTAAGCTGCTACAAATGTGGTAAATGTGAGATTAAATGGACTCGTGAGAAATGAGTCGACCGACATACTACACTTTTCGAGAGGTCAAAATCTTGGATTTTGAGATCCCTAACCTCAGGTCTCCAAAAGGAATGATTACCATTTCCCTAGAATCATGTTATTATCATTGCTTTTCTTTCTTGCTTTAACGCCTCGAAGCACTCTTAAGTCCCAACCCCTAGTTACGTTCATATCCAAGTTGCTGCAGATATAATTCTGTAGATGCCTTAAGAAGTCAAAAAATGTCACCTATTAGTTTAAAAAATTTCCAGATTTTATGATTACTCCATTCTATTATTTATTTTTAATGTAAAGTTTATGACATAATTACAATTTATAGATTTAGATAAATGATATTGAATTTTATCAAAAAAAAACTTAAGTTTTTTGTATATTATAAAAAGTTAAATAATGTAGATTAAATTATATTGAAAGATTTAAATTTTTTAATAGATGACATCTTCTCAACTTAATATGTTAATTATTTTAATTTAATTATTTACTATCGGATATATTTTTTTACATGATTAATTGTAATGTAAGTTAATTTTGCAAGTAGATAACTTATTATATAACTTCTAAAATCATAGGTCCAAAAATAATGTGAGGCTTGTCCACCCCATGAATTTACAAGACAAGAATTTTAGTACTTAATAACTAAGGCTAAACTCATAATTTATCCCTATGATATATTCAATCCATCAATTTAGCTATTGTGTTATTAATTGAATCAATTAAATCCTATATTAAATATATGATTGTAGTCAAATGAAACCAATTGAGTCAATTAACAAGATCTGAATGTTGGGGACTAATATATATATATATATATATAGATGGAGAACTATCTTTTTGATCTTATTTGTATTTTTATAAGGGTAAATATATCTATATATTCTTATATCATACTCAAAATCTTTCATGTATCTCTAAATTTCTAATAGCATCGATTTCATCTATCTTTGAAATTTTTTAAAATGCTCAATACCTTTTTTCGATCAAATTTTCCGACTAAGATTTTTTTTTTAATCAAAAACCCTTTACTAAAATGTGAATAAATAAATAAATAATACTTAAAATCATCCGACCTACATATTCTATTTTTGAAGTCTTATATATATTCATTTCAATTATGAGCTTTTCGGTTAAAAATATTTTATTTGGCCGAAAACATTAAGCGAAAAGATATATTAAATATTTCAAACACTTTAAAAAATAAATAGGATGTAATTAAAATTTTAACAATTTATAAAATATTTTGAGTATTATATAAGGACAAGTTAATATATTTATTCTTTAATATTGATTGGATATATTTTATATGCATCGCATCATTGAACAAGATAAAATTTAAGAAAAAGATTAATTGACAGTTAAAAGACCTTTTCTTTCTTTCTTTCTTTCTTCTTTTCCTTATGCTGTGACATTGTGTTTGAAAACTATACATGGTAATATATTATCACGCAAAAAAAGTTACATCATGCGTAAATATTATCAAGTCAAGAGAATGAATAATATATATATATATATATATATATATATATATATATATATATATATATATATATATATATATATATATAAAAAAGACTTTTGTTTTTTTCCTTAAGCCGTGACATTGTGTTTGAAAACTATACATGGTAATATATCATCACGCAAAAAAAGTTACATCATGCGTAAATATTATCAAATCAAGAGAATGACAATACATATATAATTTTCTTATCAATTTATCTTTGTAATCACAAACTTTGTAAACTAATTTTACTGATCAGTTCATATATACAATATACACATGTTTATGCAATTATAATATTTTATAATTATACAAGCAACAAATGTTTAATATATAATATATATCGCGTGTGCATGTGTTTAAATATGAAAAAGGTAAAATTAACGAAGACAATGTGGATGTATTTATTTATAAATTAACAGAGTAAAATGCTTTTGTTTAGACTAATTGTATTGTAAATCAAGATGGAGTAGATAGTCTCTAACGTATATGATCACTGATAGATCAGTCCTGAATTCTTCAAAATCTTAATCAACTAGCCCTCGTAAATATTAAATTTATTTGACAAAATTAATAATACAAAAGCTAAATTGACTGATTAGGGATAATTAATATAAAGGCAAATTAATCATAGGTTTAGCCTATATATAAATATAATATGCGTGTATGTAATGTATCGACCTTGACTCACATTTAATTAAAGAAATGCGAGTATTATCAAGGCAAGCATAATTCATGGATACACGCGCACACTATAATTTGTGAAAAAAATATGCTCACTAATAGATATCGCTTGTACAAATGATGTTCGCACTAAAAAGAAAAGGTAATGGCATCATTTGCACCCATCATTTCCTCCGCAGGGACCCATATAGCCTCCTAAGTTTCATTTAATCACAATTTAATCTTATCAAGCCATCTCGATTCCAAAAGCCAGCCTTGTAAAATATTTATAAACATTTTCTTTTGAAAACAATTATCGAAAACTAATTGTGTTTAGAACTGTAGAACTCAAATAATAATAATAATAATAAGATACTAATAGCCTAGTTAACTATTAAAGGGCTTGAGGTCTGACCCATTCATGTAGTGGAAAATAATAATAGTAATGGCAATATAATGTGAAAAATACAATAAATAATCTTACTATCGCTCTATTGATAATTTTGGAAATTCTAATATTATACCTGTCAAAATACTTATAGCTCTTCTAGTTCCTAACTAGTTTTTCACCCACGCTACATTGTGGGTC